AGCACATGTCTTACAAACCCATGATTCCCGAGAACAGGACAGGCATGTAACATGTGCTTACATGTATCATGACATTCCTATCTTGAGGGGGTGACAAGGTAATTTGGTTTTATCAACTAGGTTGATACTGTAAATTTGCCACTGTAAAGAGTTAACGTAAAGAGTTTTCTTGTCACCATTTTCCCACCAGTAGTGTAGCTCCACTTACTGCATATAAAACCACACATAACCCACAATTCCTCCATTTGTTCTGATGAAGGGCCAGCACTCGAAACGTCAAAAAAAAAAGTCTAACTTCCCAAAACATGATTTACAAAGGTTATGAAGATGCATTTTACGTCTCGCCTATTCTCCTTAACATGTAGATTACACTACATTAATAAATATGCTCTAGTATGCTTCACAACACTTTGTGGGGGATTTTGGCCTGACAATGGCTGGGCATTGAGCAGTCTACAATTTTTCAAAGAGAATTTTTACAGGTGCACCCTGTTTATGAATTTATTTTGGGATACAAGGCTAGACCACAGTATTGAGAACTATGCTCCCTACTCTTTGCCTGCAGTGTGTGGGTTCTTTAACTTCTCCTACTAACCAGTACAGAGGAGATGGGGCCTTTGTTTTTCATCCTTGTTTGAGGAGACTAGAATGTCTAACCATCTGCTGACAATCTTCTCAATTATTTTAAGGCACTGAGTGTTGGTCCAGCCCTGGGTTACTCTTGTGCACAAGTCTAACTTTTCAAAATGTGATCAAAAAGGTTCCTTTCTATCTGATGAATCAAGATGTATTTTTATCATGCATTGTCTTTTAAAATAAATTATCTAAAATTGTTTGCCAATAAAAATTTAACTAAACTTTTATAGTTTGTTCTACTCTTTTCAAGATGTGAATCAAGTCAAATGGGATGCAATGTCTTTCTGAAAAATTTCTTTAAACTTTTTGACAATAAAAATTTAACTAGATTTTTAGACTCTCTTTTACACTCCTTTCACATAGTCAACTATATCTCTCAATGCCTGATTTAACTCCTCGGTTTCAAAATAAGGCAAGGCTTGAACTAGCAAAAAGGCATGGTAACTCATGTAATTTAAATGGGTCACTTTGACACCAGCATCCAACAAACGAGCCCTGTATAAGAGACCATCATCCTTTAGGACATCAAATTCACATGTAATAATTAACGTCTTGGGAAGCCCTTTTAAACTTTCTGCCATTAAGGGTGATGCTCTATAGTCCACCAGACCATCTAAAACAGCAACTGGAATTCCATCTGATGGCTTCTTTGGTAGACTTCGTTTTCCTTTATCATCAATCCCAATGTAAGAAGAGTACTTTGTGTTGCGAAGATGCCTGGAATGATTGTTAGCCAAAAAGGATGCGACCATGTTGGGTGTTCCTGTCATGTAATAAGACCAGTATTCTGCTGCTTGTCTCAGTGACAATAATCGAGTGTCATGGTTTTGAAATGAGGGAAGTGAAAAGTCCATGAACTGAAGTGTGGGGTAGATGAGAATCTGCAATCAAAACAAGAGAAAAGTTGAGAACAATCATACAATCTCTGACTCCTAGTTACTAGTTGAGATCTACAACATAAGAAATGGATGTTTCCCACAAGTAAGACCACAAGTAAGATTTGTTACCATGGTGACTTTGTGATTACCTTAGTAACCTCAACAAAAAGATTACTTTGAGTATCTTTCCTAGAATAGACAAAACAATAGGATCTTCTAAAGGTTCCACTACCTCAGCTGCCAGATGTTTGTCCTCATCTCGAAGCTTGAGAGCAACTGCCGCTGCTAGATTACCACCAGCACTGTCTCCCGCAACAATAATACGATTTGTATCAATACCATATTTTCCTCCAGTGGCCAGAAGGGTTTTAACAACAGCATAAGCATCGTGGAACTGGGCAGGGAAAGTGTGTTTGGGTGCTAATCTGTATCTGCAAGGTTGGGTGACAACAGAGCAGCCATAAGCTGTTATCGGATACTTCATCAACTAAAATAACCCTTTGACTCCCATAAGTAATCAAGATGGAATTTCTCCTTACAATATAAATACATTATCAAGAAGACTACTGATGAAAATAAAGAAAATACCAATTAGGGGATTATTAGTTGACCCAATACCAAATTCTCCAAAATAACATCATAAAAGTTGTGTGGCAGACAGCAAGGAGAATTACTAATAAGATCTGGGAGGTTTTGGCAAGTGTGGCTGTCTTAGGTTCATATCCAACAAGCTTAAGCTGCCCAAGGCATAACCATCTAGGATCAGCATGTCAAAAGGATCTGTGGACTGGGATTCTGGATAACAAATATGGTACATGTTGAGCTCTGTGGTGAAATAGAGAAAGGTCATGGGTAATACTCACTCAACAGCCACCAACACAACATTTGCTTCTTTAGCTAACCGCGAGGTAAATGGATGAAACTGATCTGAAAAATAATTTATAAAAATGTATATTACAAAGAACTGAATAGATGCAAACTTTTGACAATAATAAAAAGCCATGTTTCAAGGTGTAATTTTAAAAGAAATGTAGTACCCATTGTAAGAATCAAATGGAGCTGTCATGTTGCTAAATTAATCATTTAATATGTAAATTATAATATGTTGTGTCCAGAACCCCCACTACCGGTGCCTTGTTCCTCGTCCGCCTCTCCACTTTCTTCCCTGTTTCTGCACATTTACCCTCTCTTTGCCCCTTTCGATCATATAACTGTAGATAGACTGAGGATTTAAATGCTCAACATCTTGCACTTATCTCCTGCTTCCTTCCTTCATAAACCTCTTGCTACCTGATCCTTTCTCTCTCCTCTCTTCCACCCTTTCATTCTCAGTTTTTCCGGGTTTCTAATCTCCCTTCTCATTATCCCTTCCTAGATTATAGCTTCCAAATAATTTACAAGAACTTGGTGTTAGATCACCATGACAACATCTCCATAACAACTCTGGGTATTCTCGTTACCTGTTTGCTGGATAATCTATGGAAATTATAGGGAGAAGTTACATGTTATTTCACTCCTGGTAGGGTTTCAATAAAACCTACCGACACTTCCAATAGTAAATCCACCGCCATGAAAATAAACCACACCAGTAGTCATTTTATTTCCATGGATTTTTGGTTTATAAATACGTACAGGGATGTTGGCTATCTTGCCATCCTGGATCTCCAAGTACTTTTCTGATTCTTCATCCTTGGGGAGCACCGATGATAACCTTTGGAGTTCCCCATTAAGATTTTCGAGTGCCGATTTGCCCATCCCAATAAAAGTAGCTGTATAGGCCTTAAAAATAGTTCAAGATAAACTTTAGATCGAGAGGGACGCTTTCAAAGCTTGGGGGCGGAAGCCGACCAAATGATTCCTCATTCCCTGCTTGGTCTGCCTTTATTCTCTAATGATAATTTGAGGATTTTCTGTGTCGTAGATTGCTACTCAAAGGTTAGTTTGACAGTTTCGTCATAAATCGTTCTTGTCCGTTAATAGTTAATTTGTGGGATCGCTTTATTCCCTCTGTATGTGCCAGCGTGCAAAAGTGATCATGAATTGTCTAGAAAAACCTTTTTATGAATCGACGAGACGATTCCACCGACCCAGTTCAGCAAACATTCAATGATAATTCTATCAACGACAAGCTAACTGAGAAAACTTTGTCATGGCGTTATAAACAGCTGAAAGTGTCCTCACCAAAAAGCGGAGCGTATCCAAACCAAAACTGCTTACAAGGAGACCGGTCAACTGGTCGTCTGGCAATCCCTTGGGAATTTCCTGACTATAGTACCAGGTCAAGATAATGCTGATAACAGGGACAACTATCCAACCGAAAATCAAAAGAAAGTTAGCCATGATCCTCTCTGTATGTCACAGCGCACTTTTACTTCGCGTGACTTTTGGATCACGTGAGTCCTGTTGTCAAGCGCACGTGTACTTTAGAGTTTTCTCAGAAGCCTCTAGTTTTATATAAACACATTTTGAGGGTCTCAACGAATTTCGAGCAATTACGGGCATTACAGGTTAAGCCAATGTTACTTGATCAATCGAAGACTATTGCTATGGGGCGGGGGGAGGGGTGGTGGAACTTGCTCAAATTTGGGAAGGTTTTGGGCTGTTCGCAGTTGCAGGAACCGAGGTTTGACGAAGGATTTTGGTGTTCAAATGGGGCTTGAGGGGGTGGGGATAGGCGTGGGGACAGGATTCTCATGGGGCCGATGGTCAAAAATTTTAAACATAGCAATTTGAAGGTACCAGTGATACAACTAGCATTGTTCAAATCTTATTTCTTCTCTTGATTTAAATTTTTGACGGAAATGTTACCAGTTTCCGTGAAATGCAAAATGTAATTGACGTTCTCTCAAGAGATATTAATATTGCTCCCTGTTCTGCAGTGAATTCTGGAATTATACTGCAGTGCAGTCAATTGTAATATCAAGTTAGAGTGATTACCTTGTTTTTACTAATTTTCACGCGTAGGTGGCGCGCGCACATGCCGGGTTTTACTGTGGCCAGAAAATCGTCAGTGTTAATTAACTGTTGCACGCTAGCAAGAACCAATTTTTCAAATGTCTTCGGATGTATTTCATTAAGTAGATATATACTAACGTAATGGTTACAGAAACGTGTCTAAAACATGGAATTTTAAAGTGGCATGATCAGGTTTTTTTTTTTTCAAAGGAGCCTTTGCAACTAGTACTTTGCGTCATGATTAAAAACAGGGATTGATGGATTTCTCATCAAGAAGTTGTTGTCTTAGTTTCGTTGGAGACGCTTTCATTGGCTTCAGCCTTTTTCTGATTGTCTCGTTCTTCTTTTGTGGATTCAGTTTGGTCCGGGTCACGCTCACGCGCTTTTTCTCGCGGACGTTCACGTTCACGATCTCTATCACGATCGCTTCGTCGATCTCTGTCACGGTCTCTGTCACGCTCTCTTCGATCGTCACGATATCGATCGCGTGGTTTATCATCACGGTTCTTTCTTGTTTCACGTTCCGCTTCACGATTCTTCTCCTTGGTCCTAGAGTCCTTGGCTCTATCTTTCGGTTCTGAAAGAGACAAAAGCGAAAATCTTTGATATTTCATTTCTATCGCAATGTTATGAATTACATGGAACGTCGAGGGAATTCAATAACGTGTTGCAAAAAATCGGGTCTGGAGATACGGGTTTGAGACCTGGGCGGGTCAATGT